ACTAACATGGGAGAGGCCTGATGCTGAGGACTGGCACCAGGCGGCCTGCTCTTTGAGTCCAGGCTGTTAGGGAGGGAGCCCTGAGATGTGGGCACTACTGCAGCATCTCCCAAAGGCCCTAGTGATATAGTGGTTATGTGTGGGGCTGTGATCCAAAAGGTCAGCAGTTCGAAACCACAAGCTGGCCTGATGGAGAAAGATGAGGCTTTCTACTCCTGTAACCAGTGACAGCGTTGGAAACCCATAAGGGCAGTTCTACCCTGTCCTGTACGGTCACTGTGAGTTAGAATGGGCTGGATGGCTGGGAGTTTGGAGTTTAAGTAGCTACTCCGAGGGGACCTGGTGGCCACGTGTTGGGCTGCTTCCTGTAAGGTCGGGACCAAGTCTCCTAAAAGAAAGAGGGACAAACCTGGAAACCGGCCACAGGAGAGGAGGCTGGCCAGACGCTGCCTTCAGCCACCCGAGACGAGGAGGGGGGCAGGGAGCAGTCAGTTCCTCTCTCGAAGCCCTCCCAAAGGAGCTGACAGGGCGAGACCCTGAATGCGGACAGCTTGCCTCTCCAACAGCAAGATCACTGATCTCTGTTCTCGAAAGGCTCGCTCTGTAACATCCTGTTAGGACACCTGGGAGCCTCGGTGAGCCGAGGCTGGAGTTTTCCCCTCCAGGAAGTGGGGTCGTTTCACCACACCTGAGAACAAGGTGTGTACGGCCACCAATGTCTGCAGCACCTCACAAACAGGACGGCTCCCACTGCTCCGTCTCCACACTTGTGCTTCTGACATGGACGGAAGGCCGGCGAGGCGCGGGCCGCCTGGGAGGTTCTGGGGCAGCTGTGGGCAGTGGCTGCCGCCAGCTGTGGCTCAGATGTACGAGTCGGGGAGAGACGGGGTGGGGGGTGGGAGGGACTGCCCGCCATGAGCAGCAGGCTGCTCTGCCCAAAGGTCCTACTGCCCCTCTGGGGCTTGGAGAAAGGATCCGGTTTGAGGGTGGGCGTGACGGAACCCACACCTCCCCCCTGGGGTGCAGGCAGTTCTGGCTCAGGCCTGACTGCCCAGGGCAGAGCAGAACAGCTGCACGTGGTTTCAGAAGCCACGAAGCAGAGAGCCACTGCTTTCTCCCACTGAGCAGCTGACAAGGCCACGTCGCTGGCCTTTGGGTTAGCAGCTGCTCGCGTTCACCACGGGGCCACCAGGAACCGGGTGGGACAAAGAACCCTGCTCTGTGGTGAAAAGGGAGACCTGGGGC